TCTCAACCCCAAGCCCAGCCACGTTATGGTGTATTGTGTTTCAATCTCTCTTATTCTCTTTTTAATAGAAAGTTAACGCTTGCTTCTTACCTAGTTTGTAGTCACACTGCAATTATCGCACTCTATTCTTTGTTTTTCACTTTATATTGTGCGTGTTTACCCATAATTTCATACTTTTTATGAACATAGTTTCTAATGGCCAGAGAGGAGATATCTCAGATTATTTAACCATTCCCAAATAGTAGAATATTCACATGTCCCCTTCTTGTCACTGTTTGTAAAAATAGCGCTGTATTTCAGAACACTTCTAGCAGGTAGTAGAACCACTGAATCAAAAGCTATCTGCTTCTTTAAGGGTTGTTTGTTTTTGGTTGTCATATAGTCCTTTGTTGAAATGCTTTCCTTTGTTGTTCTTAACCAGCTGGGCATTCCACCGCACCACTGTTGATGTCATCTATGATGTCACAAGGGTGGTGGCCTTCAACATTGCAGCCCACAGACTGGGCAGTTCCCAGGACCCTTGTAATGGTTCCAGGCAGTTCTCTAGCTAAAGTTTGGTGCTGGATCTGTCAGGCAATGTTGACAATCTCATCAAAAGTGAGATTTCCGCTGAGGTTAATGTTTTTCTGCTTGTTTCTGTCTCCTGGCGGTTCCCTGAGGGCTTTGATGACAGGGCAGAGGCAGACAGTACCACCTCAATCTAAGCTGGTGTTTCTGGATGGTCAGTTTTGCTATAATCCTCGACCCCTTCCGATTACTGGTTGCCTTGGCAATGTCATCACCAGCTTTTTTGGAGACAGACCCAGGGGGCCGATCTGGGGCACCAGCTTCCTTACTGGTGCACCCTCAGGTACGTGACTTTGATCTCGTTGGGGTCAAACGTACGTGGCATGGTGGAGGCGCCTGGTGTCGAATGGACCCAGATTTGGCACCCAGAGTTTTTTTTGAAGTCAGGTTACTGAGGGATAATCTACATAGAGTAAAATTCACCCTTTTTAGCCATAAAGTCTTATATCCACCCCTACAATTAAGGTTTACATTTTTCCCGTTACCCCAGAACGCTTCCTAGTGTCCCTTTGTTGTTGGCCTGTGGCAGACACGGAATTGTTTCTGTCCCTATATTTTTGTCTTTTTCTGAATATCTTATGAATGGTGTTAGACAGTAAATCACGTTTTGAGTCAGGCCTTTTTCACTTAACATAAAGCCTTGGAGATTCATCCAATTGTATATGTCGGTAGTTTATTCCTTTTCATTGCTGCGTAGCATTCCATTGTGTAGATGTACCACAGTGTGTGTGTGTGTCTGTTCACCACTTGATGGGCGTGTGGGTTGTTTCTAGTTTTTGATGATTAGGATAGCTGCTATAAATATTTGCATAGAAGTTTTTATGTGAGCATAAGTTCTCATTGCTCTTGGGTGAATACCAAAAGTGGGATTGCTGGGTTGATGGTGAATATATATTTAACTTTACAAGAATCTGCCAAACTGTTTTCCAAAGTTGCTGCAACATTTTGTATTCTCACTAGTGATTATGAGAGTTCCAGTTGTTCCACATCCTAACCAGCCCTTGGTATTACCAGGGTTGGTTTGTTTGCCATTGGAATAGCTATCTGACAGCTAGCTCATTGTGCTTTTAATGTACATTTCCTTAATGACTAATGATGAAATGTCTGTTCAAGGCTCTATCTTTCTAAATTCAGTTGTTTGTTTTCTTATTATTGAGCTGTGAGAATTCTTTATATATTCTGGATGCAAGTCCTTTATCAGACTTTTATCTTTTGCAAATATTTTCTCCCAATCTGTGCCTTGTCATTTCATTTTCTTAATGGTATCTTGCAAAGAGCAGATGTTTTTAATTTTGATGAAGTCCGGTTCATCAGTTTTTTCTCTTAAAAATCTGTCTTGTCTAAGAAATCTTTGCCTGTACCACGATCACAAAGGTTTTCTCCTGTGTTTCCTTCAGAAGTTTTATAGTTTTAGGTGTGTGATCTACTTGGAGTTAATTTTTGTATATAGTGAGAGGTATGGGTCAAGCTTCAGGTTTTTTTCATATGAATGTCTAATTGTTCCAGTACCTTCTGTCAAGTTGATTATATACTCGTGAGTCTGTTTCTGGCCTCTCTGTCCTGTTCCACTGGTCTGTGCATCTGTCCTTTTGTCAGTACCACACTGTCTTGATTACTGTAGCTTTATAAGAAGTCTTGACCTTAGATAATGAATCTTCCAACTTTGTTATTGTTTTACAAAATTGTTTGGCTGGTCTCCATTGTTTGCCTTTCCATATAAATTTTAGAATCAGCTTGTCATTTTCTCAAAAAGGCCTTCTGGGCTTTTTTCCCCAAATATGCATGTTTTATTTTTTTGGAAGATTGGCTCTGAGCTAACATCTGTTGCCAATCTTCCTCTTTTTTTTTTTTTCCTCCCCAAAGCCCCAGTACATAGTTGTATATTTTAGTTCTAGGTCATTCTAGTTCTTCTATGTGGGATGCTGCCACAGCATGGCTTGATGAGCAGTGCCTAGGTCTGCACCCAGGATCCAAACTGGTGAACCCCGGACCGCTGAAGTGGAACACCCGAACTTAACCACTCAGCCACTGGGCCAGCCCCACTTCTGAGCTTTTGAGTAGGATTGTGTCAAATCTATAGATCAATTTGGGGAGAAATAACACCTCAACCACATTGACTCTTCCAGTCCATGGAAACAATCTCTCTATCCATTGATTTAGGTTTCTGATTTTTCTTCAAGGTTCTTAACACACATTGTTAAAATAAAGGTTGACTCTTCTACTTTTTTATTGGGGTGTTTAGCACAATGCGGTGCCCTTGTGAATAACATCCACATTTTCCTGCAAAGAACGCTGCTGGCTTATACTCTGTTGATTATGCTTTATCTCCTAAGCATCTTGCCCCTCCCTTCCACACTCCTTGGCTTATAATGTATTGCTTTATTTATTTCAAAGTTTTAAACTCTATCAAAGTATAACATACATATAGAAAGCTATGCATAAGAATACATCTCAGGGCCCGCCTGGTGGTGCAGCGGTTAAGTGTACACATTCCGCTTTGGCGGCCCAAGGTTCACTGGTTGGGATCCTGGGTGCAAACATGGCACCGCTTGGCAGGCCATGCTGTGATAGGTGTCCCACATATAAAGTGGAGGAAGATGGGTACAGATGTTCAGGGCCAGTTTTCTTCAGCAAAAAGTGGAGGATTGGCGGGAGATGTTAGCTCAGGGCTAATCTTCCTCAAAAAAAAAAAAAAAAAGGAATACATCTTGATAAATTTTACAAAGTAGAAACACTAGGTCAAGAAACAGAGCATTACCAGCTACCCAGAAGCCTCTTTGTGACCTTTTTCGATTATTACTCCCCAAATCTTGCCACCAAGAGGGACCACTATCTCGACTTCTAACACCACAAATTAGTTTTGTCATGGCTTAGAATTTCGTTGCTCTAAACTTTCTAGGTTTCTTATTTTAGGTCCTGAAAATGTGCCAGGCCTCCTCATTGTGCCTTTGCTAGTGCCCAGAACACCTAACCCCTCTTCTTCCTTCTCCCTCATTTCTTCTTCCGGCTTCCTTGAAGAGTCCTCCCAATCTGTCCAGCTCAGCTTGAGTTTCATCCATCCTGGGAAGTCTTTCCCTCCTCCTCTTCTCAGGTTTCCTTTGACGTTGTCTGTACCTTCATTAGCATGCCAATCACGATGTATTGGAGTGGTGTTTCCATTTGACTGCAAGCTCTTTGAGGTCTGGAACAAGCTGTTTTGTAGACCCACTGCCTTCCTCGGGGCCTGGCACACAGTAGGAGATTAGTAATTGTATGTTGGATGAATGTTGAGAGTCTAGGAAACTGATTCCCCAAAAAGTCAAGCTGCTTGCTCACAGTAGGCCTCCTGGCTTTCAGCCCTTACTGGCTTCTCTTCAAACCGTTTTCTCCCTCATGTTACTCTGACTATTTGTGGTTTATTTCTTTATTCCATACTGCTTTTGGAGCAAGTCAGAAAATATCAAAGCTCTTGAAGGCAGTTTATCCATCATTGTGGTTATCAGAAAGAGAGGATGAGGCCCTCGGCCCCGCATCTGCCAGGAGAGCAATAGCTTTGGACTTTATAGTCTGTGCATCTGGTCTCCTACTTCAGTACCAAGTGTGCATGTGTAGATGACTCTTGACAACGTTTAAATCCTTCCTGTGTTCACCCTGCCACCAACATATTCTGGGATGCCCTTCCACTGTTAGTAAGAAGACGACCACATCCCAGGTTTTGTTGCCCTGTATCACGGTCTAGCTGCTCCTGATAAAAATGACTGGGAGTGTTTGTGTGTAGTATTGGGGCCACAGTGGCTAAATAAGAAAAATGGAGTCCTTCCCTCGCAATCCAGACTGGATTTAGCTGTGCCCCGACTGCAGAGTGGATGCCTTCCATACAGTGAACAGGGAGGAAAGAGTGATCTGACCGACCTTAAATGTCAAGTGGTTCTTAGTGTATGGAGTGGTTTACGTCCACCAGAATAGGTGGCACATTTTACCACATCCTCCAAAGACAGATCCGTCTGTTGGTCATTCGAGCATACCCTTCTGAGCAATTTGTGTCTAATTGGGGGCCTGTAGTGTTCACTTACCCATCATCGTGGGGAGGTTGCGGTGGGTTAAATGCTGTCCTGGGGAGGGAATAATAGGTGAGGCTAAAAGGGGAAGCAGCCCTCAGGTGTAACTGAAAGGAGCGAGGAAGAGCATGATGGTCTGGAGGGGGCTTCCAGGTACGCAGGCCTATAAGGGTGAAGCCATGGAGACTTGTCTCTGTGCGTTTAGGCTGTGTCTCTTCTGAGCTCTGTGGAGTCCCTCTCCAGTGGTTTTATGAGTGTTCCCCAGCTGTGCACGCAGGGCAATGCCACTGATTCAGACCGTGACTCCTGGAGATGGGTGAGTGCCTGTCCGATGTCCCAGGGCAGGCTTGGGAGCAGCCAGAATGGCTTTGCACCCAGCAAACTTCTGTCCCTCAGGAGAAGATCGGCTGGCGAAAGGATGCTCTGCACTTGCTGGTGTTCACAACGGATGATGTGCCCCACATCGCGCTGGATGGAAAGCTGGGGGGCCTGGTGCAGCCGCACGATGGCCAGTGCCACCTGAATGAGGCCAACGAGTACACTGCATCCAGCCAGATGGTGAGGGCCGGGGACCCCAGCCCTGCTCCTGTGACCCTGCCCATGGTGCAAGTTCTTATCTGGCCTTCGAAACCTTCCTCTGGCCTTCTACTCGCTGGCTTTCCAATCCATTCTAGGGATTGGCTTTCCAGTCCATCTTCCCCAGCTGGGCTTCCAGGACTCCTCAGTAACAGAGAACATTTCTCAGGGATTTCTGTAGCTGGTTCATCTTTCTGCCATTGTGCCCCTAAATGGGGGTGTTTAGTTGAGGAAAGAGGTGACCTGGGAGACAGGAGAGATCTCAAAGGGGAGAGGTGGTCTTCCATGAGAGCGGGGACAGTGTTCCTCCAGAGATCCAAACTGGGATAGAAGTTATCTGGAAGACAAAACTCCTGACTTCTGGAAATGGGCTCCCTGAGGCACTGGGTTCTTCAGTGTCAGGAGTGGGGTAGCAGTGTCCCACATGGAACGAGATGCCCCAGGGACCTTCCACTCTCAGTAGTCTGTGACCATGACCATGTCATTTAAAAGAATTTATGCAAAATTTCAAATATATATAATAAGAGATAGACCAGTGAAGTGAGTGCCTACGTTCCTATCACTCAAACTCAACAATTAGCAGGATCTTGTCACACTTTCTATGCAATTAAAAAAAAAATCTATACCCTCTTCCCTCACAAATCCATTCTGGTTTCTAGCTAGACAGGAGTTCTTTCTAATTTTCTTTGCTGGACAAGTCCAAGTTTGAAGAGGTGGCCAGTGCCCAAGCCTTCTATATTATCCAAGAATAATAGAGTCTAGAAAAAAGACTCATAACTATAGAACCTGATAACTACAAAACTGATGAGGGCCCCTGTACCCATCATTAGCCCTTAAAATCCTTCAGGACATTGTTAAGCTGCCTCTCAGCCTCCTCCCTCCCTCCCTGCTCTGCACCCCTCCCCCGCCATGGTCTATCTTTTAGTCCAGAAGTCAGCAGCCTCTTCAACCCATTCTGAGCCATAAGCAGGACTGACAGGACCTGTAGGGGAATAGTGGCAGGCCCAACCGTTGAGTATAGGAACAGGAAAATAGGGCAAGGAGTCGGGGAAGAAATTCTTAGGGAAGAGAAGAGAGGTAACAGGTGCTGGTGGTAGACGGCAGGATGTGGTGGCTCCTCCTTTCAGGGCCTCCCCACTCTGCCCTATTCCTGCTGAAGGGGTGGAGACAGACCAGGTATGGGAAACCTCCACTCCTCACTTCTCCTTCTGGGGTGGGAGGCTGGCAGGAGTGAGTCTAGATTGGTAGGTGCCAGAGGGTCCTTTCCTGGGGGTCTCCTCTACGCATTTCCTCAGTTAGGAGCTGCCTATGGGGCTTGATTGTTAAGGGGCTTTAAGGGGCTGCCAGAGGAATATGCTTTTCATGGCAAGTGATAAGTCACTGAGTGCATGTTGGAGGTGGATGCTAGTATCAGCCTGTTAGAAATGTTACAGCCTTGACTTTGCCTTGGCCCTAGGACTATCCATCCCTTGCCTTGCTTGGAGAGAAACTGGCAGAGAACAACATCAACCTCATCTTTGCAGTGACGAAGAACCATTATATGCTCTACAAGGTATGCCTGGAAGGAGTGAGGGAGGCTGGGGGCCTGATTCTGGGGGCCATGCTGACCCTAAGATGAACGGGAGTTTAGAATGTGGGGTGAGGAGTGTTAATAGCCCTACTCTGTGTTGCGGGAGATCCAAAGGCGGGGTGGAATGTAGCCCTGTCTTGAAAGTAGTAATATAGTGGAAACTAATAGTGTTCCGGAAGCTCTTAAGCATTCACCTAGCAGTGCATCCCTTTCCTAGGGATTGAAACATGCGATATCCAATTTGATCCTGAGAAAAACTTTGGAAATAGTACGACTTCCCACTTTTCAGATGATGAAATGGAAACACACAGGAGCACACTCTGGTAGGGAAGGACAGTATAAATGAAAATTTACAGAAAGAAGACTAAGGCATCTAGGCAGGCTGCATCACTAATTCCAACGTTCCAGAGTTTTTGTGCCTTCCCCGCAGGGTACGGGAGACCAGGGGTTAACCTGGAACAGGAACTCCCAAAGAAAACAGTAAATGTCTTGAGTGAACAGAGCAGTCTGTGTTTGCATCCATTCTGTCTAAAAAAGACTCTTCTGAGCCATTCCGTGGACCCTCATTATAAACTCCCCTCATGAGTGTACTCTTCCCACAATCACAGGCAAGTCACGTTTTGAACTAGAACTCTCCTCGGGGTTGCTCAAGGAGTGCACTCACGTAAGCTAAATGAACAGCCCAGCTCACCTCTGACATCCTTTGAACTGAGAGGGTATGAGAACTTAATCCCTACTCTAGAGCAGCCAGCCCGGGTCCCCTCTCCTTCCTGCTCTTAAATATCCACAAGAGAACCTTTGTCTGATTGTGTTTTTCTGTTGCTCCTGCCTGAGATCATCACTGAGAAAATGCCACTAACATCGTCTAGAGTTCATTATCTTCTTTAAGTCTGAATCACTTTTAAAAGATGAAAACAAGGGAAGAGGATGGATTTTCTTTTTTTGTATAGTGGAAGACTGCAGATAAAACATCCATTTGCAAATAACGTTTTTAGAGCGATCAGTTGCACAGACCATACTGAGTATGCTTCTAGATGCTTTAAGAGGGAAGAGATCCATCTTGGCTTAAGCCTTTCTTACCCAGAACCAAGGACACCTGGCTCAGGGCAGAGGCCCACCCAGTCCAAGGCAGGCTGAGGGAAGTAGATGTTTCTAGATGTTTCTCTCACTTTATAAGTGACGTATTCATTTTCTTAATGAAAGAGGAAAGGCAGCCACCGCAAGCCCGCCTGCTTTGTCTCAGGACTTCACCCAGAAATACCCAGATGTCCTTGGGAGGGCTCTAGTCACATCTCAGTCCCCTGTTAGAAAAAGAGGCGCATTTGAGACCCTCAGAAAAGTTTTCCCTTTCACTCCTGCCAAACAGATCGAGAGCATCCATGAACTGACCCTGGGAATACCTATGTGGACGAGGGGAGAGAGGGCAGGAAAATCGAGAATTTGTTGACCTCGGAGGGTGGAATTTCAGAGAGATGTCCATGATATGCCAGACGGGAGGGGTCTCCGAGCAGGAGCAGGACATTATACTTTAGGAAGAGATCTCATCAGACTCTTGCCACTCAGGCCTTTGACAATGGAGTCCACAGCTTACTGCAACGACTCTTCTCCTCTGCCTGTTCTTCTCGCCTTTCCTTGTGGGGTCCTCTCCAATTGATGGTGTGAGAGAGTGGCAGACTAATGCTGGGGAGCCCCTTACTGTTCTAGCTCAGTAGACAAGTGTTCACTCTGACAGTATAGAAGGGCAAAATGGGCTTATTTTTTTCTTTATTTTATTTTTTTCAAGAATTTTACAGCCCTGATACCTGGAACAACAGTGGAGATTTTATATGGAGACTCCAAAAATATCATTCAACTGATTATCAATGCGTACAATGTAAGTCATCGGTTTCTTCCCCCACTGCCACCTCCACCCCCTCCTCCACCGCCTCCCACTGGGGCTCCGGGAGCTGATGTGGACTCCGGTGGGCCACGCACTGTGCTGGTGAACTTGGCTCTGCTTCCCATCTCCTGCCTCTTGAGTTTGGTGCCTTCCTCCTTCATTCAGATTTGGGTGGAGAAGGCCATCCTGCTTAATGCAGCCCTCTCCTCTCACCGCTGCCATCTTGACTCTCTTCCTAAGCTGATCCTAGTGAGCAGTGAATGGCTCAGTCAATTCGGGCCAGCAGCTCTTGGCCATGTTTGGGTTCTGACTGTGTGATGACTCAGGTCTCATGGGAGCACCTCACTTGGGTGGGTGCAGGTGCTCTCCACCCATCCCGTTGCCTAGGTGATACTGCCACTGTGTTCCCTCGGCCAGAAGGGAGAAGCATGCACACCGACCTCGCCTCACGGTGGGCAGGACAGTTGAAATTCCCCAGGCTCATGGAGCTCATCATAGAGCTGCAAACTAAAGCGGGAATGAAGAATCCAAGAGGAATCAACAGTAGGTCTTTTGCCTATGCACTTAGGATCTGATTGTAATCAGGTCCTTTCGGACGGAGCCTGAGTGGGCCTGATAAATTCTGTGCTGTTGTCATTCATCACGGTAACGTGGCTCTACTGTAGGAAGTGCAGCGTTTATGGACGTGGTGTGGGAGTTGCTTTCACATCCCAAGCCAATTGTCCGTGATTCCCAAACCTTTCTCCTTCTTCCTTTCCTTTCCCTCAATTCCTAATACTCAAGAAGTTCTTGACTCAGACCTACCTTTTTTCAGGAAAATAGCAAGCGCAGTGTCTTGTGCTTGGAGGTATGTACCCTCAGCTGTCCCCTCCCTGCTAAGTCCCAGGATGGTTGTCACTTCCAGTGTCCACCCCACCCCTCACGGGGCCAGGTAATTCCCAAACTGGAATGCAGAGTACATCTTCCTGTAAAAACAAAGTTAGAAATAGAGTAAGTATAGTTTAAATAGCACTGTTAGTCCTAAATTTATATAAAATAGACTTTGGTGGGCTAACGTGGGAACCCAATTAACCACTGTGGCATCGCATGTGTGTGAGAAAAAAACATCTTACCTTCCCCACCGCAAATAATTTACAAATGAGTATTTGGAACTCTGCCTTTCCAGTGTTGACTTTGTCAACCTACTGCTCCAGCCCTGTGTTGAGTTACAAAATGCTGCTCAACTAGACCAGGATCATAGGTAATGCCCTCGCACTGGGGCAACCCCGGAGCTTGGGGTATGGTCAGGCGCCTTGGTCTCCTGGAGCTTCGGCGTCCTAAAGGTGGTGAGTCGGGGGACAGTGAGGATTTGTGACTGGCTTTCCCTCCCTCCTCCCCATCCCCCGCCCCCACCTTCTATTGCAGTTAAGGGTTGTCTTCCTCTCACAAATTCTCTGATTCCTCCTCACTGCTAGAACTTCCTGTTGAAAGAAACTAAAGACTTCCTTCTCCTCTCCTACCCCTTTCCCCACATAGTAACATCCTTTTTTCTGATCTCTGACTTCTAAATCTTCACCAGAGCTGGTGGCCTCCCCAGAACCCAGAACCCAATGGGACAGGGTCCAAGCATAGCTCTAACCGGGCTCTTTCCATTTCTCTGTGTCACTTTACCGTCTCAGCGTTTTGTGGTGGATTTCATATGAGTCATGCAACACATGACTAAGTGTGGGTGTTGACTTTTACCTCCCCTAGAGAGCTGGCAAACCATCTGTGGGACATTCTGAAAGGACTTTGGTTGGAGCACATGTAACAGATGAAATGGCTGCGGTATTTAGCTAGGCTGAGGAGCTAGCAAAATGCAAAGGGTATGTTTAATTTAACACCCTGTAGCATTGAGTCTGTTGTATGCAACTTTCATAGTGTGAAATCTTCAACTCTGGGCTTGAACTTACAAAAATTTTTCTTGCCATCCCAAATTCTTCATGGTGAGAGATCACCGAGTCCTCCCAAGGGAATTTAGCCGTGTGGAGCTTTGCTGTCCCATAGTTGCTGATGAGAGCTTCTCTTCCAGAGCTTAGAGATAGAGCCCTGGGTGCACCCACCCCGCTCCCTGCCCCCAAACGCCAGCACTGTGTCACATTGAGAAAGGGGAAGTAGGACTGGGAGAGAAATCACTGGGATCTCATCTCAGTCTGGGGAAAGAACAGAATGAGCTGGAAACCACTAGAGTTGCATGTGGAGGGTGACATCAGAGGCCATGTATATGTTTCTCCTCGTGGAGCACATGTTTCTATTTTCGTTGTTGCCATAAAGTCTGCTCCCACCACTCCACAGCTGGCCTGACTTAAAGGCATTGCAGATGTGACCTAGCCTGACTGAGTATTTAATAGCCTTTAAACTTCTGACATTCTTGACATTGTCTCCTTGTCCTAGGATGAGGAGTAAGGAATCATCCTCAGGGGCAGATCTGGTAGGAGGTAATTGAATTTCAGGAGTCACACGTAAGTCTTCATGCGTAAGAACTGCATTGCCTGTGGCTTTGATCCTCTGCTATATCTTGTACTCCATCCATCCATCCATTCATTCATTCAACAACTATATATTAATGGCCTGATGTGTGGCAGGCGTCATGCTGCACCTTGGGAATAAAACCGTGCACAGAACACAGTCCTGTCCTCCAGGAGTTCATAGTCTTTTAGGGGAGATTGACTCTTAACAACCAGAGTACAACCTACCCACCCACACTTTCCAAAATCAGAACAGGTCTCCGAAGAAAGAAGTGAGAATCAGGTGGGTGATCACAGGGAGCATTGCAGGGGCATCAGGGAGGCCTGGTTCTGATCCTGCCTCTGGCAGATCAGTGACCATGGATGAGGCCTTTCCTTTGGCCTCAGTATCTGCTTCCATAAAATGAGATTTAAACTGAATAATCTCCACGGTTCCTGACCCAGTAACATCCTAAGTGTTCTGATTCCAGAGACTGTGTGGAGAGCAAGAATAATACAAACTTCAGATCAGAACATAGGCTTTGGGCTCTTAGGGCCAGAATAAAACATAGGATTCAATTTCCATCCATTATAGTTACCGATTCATTGAATAGGAGTCCCAGTCCCCAGTGATCTTTGTCCCTCTACCAAATTCCCCATTAACACTTCCAGATGGCAGCTTCAGCAGGTCTTGATGAGGGGAGGGCTCATGCTTCCTCCCAACGTCTTGTTCATGAGCCACAGGCTCTCATATTTCATTGACTGATCCCAAGTAATTTTTTACACAGCTCTAATCTACCTATGCCTTTTATGATACACTGTTTTGCCTCATCCTCATACTTATTCACAATTACAAATTTTTTTAAAATTTACTTTGTCTTTCAAAAATAATTTTAAGTTTCTTCCACTAGGCCTTAGTCCTTTAGCATAGCTGCTGTTAAAACATCCATCCTTCCTTCCTTCCATCCATCCATCCATCCATCCATCCATCCATCTATCCATCTGTCCATCCATCCATTCATTCAACAGAAGCTTGTGGTGAGTCCTAGAGAGAAATATAGTATGGCCCTTGGAATTCACAACTCAGTGGGAAAACAGATTTCTAAATAACTAATCACATTCAGCAGGAGATGCTGTGTATGCCGAGTAGATCTCTCGCAACCCTTTGCCAGTTGAGGCTGACACAAGAGGAAGTGGATTTAAGAGAGTATTTTTAGAGTTGTAGAAGCACTTAGATGATTCGTTGCAAAGGGAAAGGCTATTTTTTGCAGAGAATATTTTCAACAAGCTGTAAATTTGTTGGGAAAACTGCATATTTAGTTTATTCAAGTTTAACACTACATACTCAGCAAAAAAGAAAAAGAGGAAAGAAAGAAAAGAAACCCCACGGGAGTGAGAGGCAACTCTGCCCGCCGTTCTGTTCAGTGCCATGTTCCCTGGAGCAGACCTGGGAAGGGAGGTAGGAGTCTGAAGGGCCATTGGTTGATCCATGTGCCTCTCAGAGTGTGTTCATCCTGCTATACTGCGTGTATTTAGTGCATAAAAATTTTTTTGGTAAGATATGGCCCCTAAATACAAGCCAGTTACTTCATCTGACTTCAATCTCCAAAGGACATCCTCCTTAGAGATTTTCAATGGCAGTTTTTTAAACTAACAAACATACCGAAAATTGCACAAACTTTTCACTAAATACACCTGAGAATCCAGCACCAGGACAAAAAACAATGTTACTGGCTCCCAGAAGCCCCTATCATTCTCTTTTCCATTATTATCCCCAATTTTGCCTGTTTTTGAATTTCATATAAATAGAATCATAAAGTATATGTGGCTTTTGTGTCTGACTTCTTTTGGGCAATGTTATATTTGAGATTCATCTGTGTCATGGCATGTAGTTATATTTCATTCATTCTTGTTACTGTACGGTATTCTGTGAACACACCAGCATTTTTTTTAAAAAATCTGTTCTACTGTTGCTAGGCATTTGGGTTGTTCCAGTTTCTAGCTGTTACAGACAGTGTTGCTGTGAACAGTGTGTGCAGTGCTGTTGTACCTTCTTCTGGTCAGTACACATCTCTGTTGGGTATAGTCCTAGAGAGAATTGCTAGGTCTAAGGTCGGCCTCAGTGTTAGGAGATTCTGCCTGATGTTTTTTCTCAGGATTGTACCAGTTCACACTCCCACTAGTGTGGTATGAGGGCCCCAGTCTCTCCACATCCTTTCTAACACTTGATATTTTCAGTCTTTTATTTTTTCTATCCTGGTAGGTAATTTTGTTTTCATTTTTATTTCGATTCACTGTCTTGAGGACATAATCCACACATAAGATGATATTCTCTCAGAATGTAGTTTCAAAGCTCTTGAATGTGGACCTCCTCTGTTGGGGGATGAGTGTGGATGTGAAGAATGATAGGGTGGGTTCTGGGAGAAAGTGTCTGCTGAACTGCTTTTGAAGAATGAGAAGGAGCTAGCCAGGGGGAAGAGAAGAGAGAAGTGCCATTGAGCAAAGGAACATTCCCCTAGGCACGTGTAAAGACCCAAAAGCTGAGGGTGGGTTGAGAGGTGACTCGGGAGAGGCAAGCAGAGACAGCGCTTCAGCCCTTGAAGCAGGTAAAATTATCATATGGCAGGTGGACCATTATCAACTCTGAGCTCACAGAGGGAGACCTCAGGCCACATCTAGCAAGACGGCATGTGGGTGTGGAGAGAAGGAAAGGGATGAGGGAGGGACAGCTAACCAAGCCCACTGGCTCTTGCCTTGTCTTGAGTCTCCTGAGTTAGAGGAAGCCATGTGGGCATCAGAGAACCAGCACGGAGAGCACCTTGGCTGCAGCCTTTACTCAATGGTTCTGGCTTCATCTCCTCTTTCTGTTCAGAGCATCCGGTCTAAGGTGGAGCTGTCAGTCTGGGATCAGCCTGAGGATCTTAACCTCGTCTTCACTGCTACCTGCCAGGATGGTGTATCCTACCCTGGTCAGAGGAAGTGCGAGGGCCTAAAGATAGGGGACACGGTAAGTTCTCACCCTCCATTTATACTTGTTAGCCCTGGTCATCATTCTTTGGCTTCTGATAACTTTTGTGACTTTTTAGAGTTCTGTAGGAGTTTGTATTCTGTTGTCCAACTTAGCATCCTTAGACTTTCCGAACGCTGGTCTGTGTTGTGTCTTCAGGGTGCCAAGTGGACTTGTTAACAAGCTCCAGTCAATAGACAGCCCTCAGTGCAGTGCCACCTAAGCGTTCCTCAAGTTGACCTTGTGCCCTTGGTGTTTTAAACCATTGCTACCTTCATTTGACAGGCATGAAATCAGGTGGGAGGGCGTGGCTGGGAATCTAAGAGACCTGGCCTTCATTCCTAGTCTTCTAGAGCTTGCTCTGTGCCTTGGATAATCTGACCCTCAACTTCCCCTTCTGTAAAATATGAAGAAAACCATCCACCTCTTCCGATTTGATGAGATGGAACAGAGAACTCTACAGCAATGGAAGGCATAGAGATGCCTTGTCTGGATTAGTGGATATAATTAAATGATGGGGAAGAAACATTGTAAAGATGTGCACCTGTGTACCAAACCAAGGACTTGAGGGAGGGAAGAGGATATATGGGTGATGGGAACACAGATGAAACACAGGCACAGAGGCAGGCAGAGTGGTGATGGAGAGCCATCCACACATCTTCTAGAGGTTCCTGCTGCTAGAAGCAGACGATGAGATCCATTCCTTGCTTTGTTTACGGTTTCATTGCTCAGAAAATAGACAGTGAAAGAAAGTTCTTTTCCACCCTTAAAAGAATTACAGGGACCTTAAAAATAGATAACCGTATTTTCTGGACATTCATAAGCACTATTGATGGCCAAGGTGAGTACAAGCAGACTTAGACCCTGGATTCTAGGGAAACAGCTCAAGAAGATGTAGGTATAGCTACATGGCTGGTCTTCTGGGGTTTTCTCACATTCCATAATGGATCCTCGCCCGCCTCCCCTTTCACAACTACCCTTTGCCTACTTTACAACACACAGGCATACTCTCACCCAATCTAAATCTTACAGTGGTGTTTTGCCTCAGTAAGGGGACAACTGAAAATACGGTATCAATGTTGAGAAAGTAAAGGACTCTAATGACTGGGTGACAAATCTAAGACAGGTTTTTTCAAAGTTTCTTTTGCTTTTTTTAAAAAAATGAAAGAAGGTCTAATAAAGTTGTCAGATGAAAGATCATTAAAATTGATTATTTATGGCATTAACTCAGAAGGCACTCATAGAACCGGATGATGTTGCTGTAACAAAACTTCTATTCCCATCTTCCTATTTTTTTTTTCTTAAAGATTGGCACCTGAGCTAACAACTGTTGCCAATCTTCTTTTTTTTTTCCCTTGCTTTTTTCTCCCCAAATTCCCCCAGTACCTAGTGGTATATTCTAATTGTGGGTCCTTCTAGTTGTGGCATGTGGGACACCACCTCAACGTGGCCTGATGAGCAGTGCCATGTCCGCGCCCAGGATCCGAACCCTGGGCTGCCGAAGCAGAGCATGCGAACTTAACCACTCAGCCACGGGGCCAGCCCCCCCATCTTCCTATTTATGGGAATAAGTTTTTTTGGAAGAGGAAGGGGTTTAATCTGTGCAAATAAAAAATAGGAATGTAATTGATGCTGATGCCTGTCTTATTTAGCAAAAAGTAATATTACTTTACTCATACATCAACTATTTGGGTGGGGGAAAGCCTCATTTCATTAAAGAGGCACTTCCAATAAAATTTTACTTTTTAATTTTCATTTATTTATTTTTTGAAGATTGGCACCTGAGCTAGCAACTGTTGCCAATCTTCTTCTTTTTTTTTTCCTGCTTTTTCTCCCCAAATTCCCCCAATACATAGTTGTATACTTTAGTTGCGGGTCCTTTAGCTGTGGCATGTGGGACGCTGCCTCAGCATGGCCTGATGAGCGGTGCCATGTCCGTGCCCAGGATCCAAACCAGTGAAACCCTGGGCCACCGAAACAGAACGCGCGAACTCAACCACTCGGCCACAGGGCTGGCCCCATAAAATTTTATTTATAATTCTTGTCAAAATTTGCAGTATATTTATGTTCTTTTGATCAATTCTAATGATTAATCAATCCAAATGACTTTTTACAAAACAGAAAAGCCTTATTGTTCCAGGGTTTAAAGAGATAGTTATGAAAAATGGAAGGAGGTAGAAATAACCAGATAAAACTACGTGTAAGTGAATTGTACAGATCTGTGGATAGAATATTTGGTGCAGTGTGTCAGGAAAGCTAAAAAATGATGTGTGAAAAGCACCCAAACAAGGAATCCTTTACTTGAAGAAATAGGGACAGTGGAACAGAGGTGAGAAAGAGTGTGTGCAGCACACACACCAGATGCCCGATTTTCAGGACGGCTCTTGACAATTTCAGATGACATCCTTATGAAGAAGACAAATACTGGGGGTTGATGACAGCATAATTTGGCAGATTTGTAGCTGAGCAAACATCCTTTTAAGAGTGTTGATAATGCCAGCCAGAGGGAGGACTTGACTGAGGTTCCAAATGTCTCTTGTCTGTTCGTGTTTACTACTGGCTTGAGCTGAACTCATGGAAGGCCCGCTTATCAGAGGTGGGAAGGTCACAAAGATGGAGAAAACAGATTATCTGATAAAAGAGGAAAACTGAGATTTTAAAATATTTTTCAAAAGTGAGCTGGATTGAAATCATCAGGATTAATCTCTTGCATTTAGTTTAGCATATTAATAGAGTAGAGGGAAGTTGATTTAATAGTAGTTTTTAAGAAAAGCATCTGGCAGATTCTAATTCTCAAAGGCTCAATGTGAATAAACAGTGTTGCTTTGGAAAAAAAAAAGTAATGCCAGTCGAGGCTACATTAATAGAAGCATTTTCAAACCCCAGAGATAATGGTTCCAGTCTTCTTTGTGTGGGTCGGACTGCATCTGGACTTCTACATTCAGATCTTTTTTTAAAAGGATAAGTGACAGGCAGCATCATGATGAATTGTCTAGAAACCCGGAAGGTCAAAGTAACTGGTGTTGGTTGATAATGACAGCATAAAGTTGGAATTCCTTTTGCACACAAGAAACTATAGCCAATTTATGCTGCCTTAAGCAAAAAAGGGGAAATTGTTATAGGAATGCAGTCGTGTGTGGCTTAATGACTGGGATATGTTCTGAGAAATGCACCATTAGGCGATTTCATCGTTGTGTGAAATCATAGAGTGTACTTACACAAATCTAGATGGTATAACCTCCTATACACCTAGGCCATGTGATACTGATCTTACGAGACCACTGTCGTATATGCGATCTATTGTTGACAGAAACGTTTTAGGCGGTGCATGACTATATTGGCATCCCTCATGGATAAGAGGGAAATGTCTCAGAAAGGACTAGAAACAAACTAGACAGTGAGTCAGCTCTATGTTCCTCATCTAGTTCCCTCATTGCTACCAGGGATCCTGAGATTTAGGGCTGTAATGACCTGCCCAAGATCATCCAGCTAACAAACGATGGGTTCGCAACTGGAACCAAGGTCTTTTCGCTCCAGACTGAGTCATCTCCCCAGTCACTGCCTGCTTATCACAGAGGGAACGGCATGAGTTCCCGTTCTGTGGGGATGTATAATACGCCCAGTGCTGTGGTGGGGGCTTTTCTGCTGCCCCCTCTGCTTCCTGCGGCAGCTGTGTCAGGTGGACATTGCTTCCCCATTTTACGTGGGAAAGGCTGAGGCACTCACTCTCACAGGAGTGGCCAGACAACTTGCCAGAAGTCCTGCTGGTGGGATGCCTCAGGCACCAGGAGCCAAATCTGAAACTACTGATGCCAAAGGCTGTGTTTGTTCCAGCCGAGTCCCAGGGCCCCTCTTCTGTGTTCCTTGAAGAAAGAGTTCCAAAGAAGCCCAAGGTGGTATCCTTGTCACTTATGTATGGATGCTCTACTGTACAAATTTTGATTTTTGCTAGGATACCTCAGAAAAATAGGGATAATGTCCAGAAGACATAAAGATTTTGAGTGGGATTTTTTCACAGCAGTGAAAAATCTGAGATGTACTCGGATGATGTGCAGAGCATTTGAAACAGAAGGAGAAGATGGTGCTTCTCCTACCCTGACCGCCCTTGACAGCTCTTCCCCTCGGGCAAGCTGGGAGCCTCCCTTGGCATCCGTTGGGCCACGGTCCTGTGGAAACAGCAGTGGGCCCAAAGGCACAAGTCCCGTGCTGGCTCCTTGCTTCCTTCCACCATTCCAGTGCTGTCTTGCTGTCCAAGGGGCTCAGTCACATGGCCCCTGGCCCCGCTGCAAGGGCTGTGGGGTTTTTGTCTTCTGTTGATGAAGACAGGCTGGCACAGAGCAGCGGCCACTCGCCTGTCATAGCAGGACATGATGCTGCTCTCAAGGGCCATGCCAGGCCCCGAGAGGCCACGAGAAGCAAGCTCTTTGAGGGCCCTGGAGGCAGTGGCAGGCAGAACCCTCTACGTAATTTGCAGTGCCCAGTGCAAAATGAAAATATGGGGTCCTTGTTCAGAAATTAAGAATTTCAAGGTGACAGCAGCAGAGCATTAAACCTCTGGGTGTGGGGCCATGTGTGACTGCACAGGCACGTGCCCACGGAGCTGGCCCTGGCGGGGGAGCTCAGGGGCTTTCCCTCAAGCGCCTTATTGCTGAAGGAGAGTGGCGCTTCCAGCTGGGACCAGTCTGATTTTCTTAATCCTGGGCCAGGAAGGCAGACTTTCTGTTCCTCTTCTCAGGCTGAACTTTCTCCAAAGAGTTTACATTTGAGCTTTGGCTACCAAGCTTGCTACTGAGTATGTGGGCATTTCCCTCCTGACGTTTGTCCCAAGGACAAATCTGGTAGAGAAAATATGCACACGAAGGAGTCAACCCAATGGAGGGTGATGAGGGGTGGGGATAAAAGCTGGGCATGGTACTGTGGGAGCTCCAAGGAAGAAGGGCCCCATATTGCAGAGGGGGCGCCGTTTGAGCTGAGGCTCTGAGCAAGATTGGGAGTTTTCCAGACACAGAAACGGAGAGTGGGGAGGTCCCATTAGTGGGCATAGCATGTGCAGAGCAGCAGGTGAGTCTGGGAGGACGTGAAAGAGCATCGCCCTCCTGCATATGGGAAGCAGCTGAGGGGAGTGGGCTGGGGCCTGAGTGGAGGGTGGCTGGAGCTGGGGCTGCAGAGGCAGGCTTGGCTATACTGGGAGGATTGCCAGGCTAAGCCATCCGGCTGTTATCTGGCAGGTGGCTTCCATTCTTTAGTGCCACGAGTTGGGAGGGCTGTGGACAAATCGGGGACTGGCAAGGAGGGTAGGCAGGAGTGCAGAGCACAGCAGGGGGGCCCTGGGACTCACCTGGAGAAGAGGGATTAGGGAAAGCCGACAAGATGTAACTGTCGTCAGGTACCTCAGGGTCTGGCCTGTGGATGAGGACATGGCCCATGTGTGGGGCAGCCTTGGGACAGCTGGGTCAAATGGCAGCCAGGCAGGTCTCACCTTGTAACTTAAGCCACATGCAGGGGTGGTGGTGGGGCAGGCAGAGGCTCTGTGGTCATTTCCAACCAGAGTCCATGGTGCTGTGACTCTCCTTGTGTTCGCTGGGTTAAGAGATCTGTCCAGGCAAGAGGCAGGAGAGGTGGCGTGGGGTGAGGGACAAGGTTGTCCTCAAAGAGAAATATTCCTTAATTAAAAGCTTGAAGTCCCAAATCGAATGAAGTTCTGTTTTCCAGTGATCTCAGTTATTTCCCTAATTTTCCTACCCTGGCCCCAACACCAGTAAGGGCTGAGTGAGTGGTCCTGGCCACTGGGAGTCAGTTTTCTCATGAACTGGTGTGACAAATCAGTATGCAAGTGGCTGACTGTGCCGCAAGCACTAACGCCCAGTACAAAGGACCCAGTGAGCCCCATCACAGTCTTCCCACGATGTCCCCGGCTCCTGTCCCCTCCTCCGGGGCTCTCTACCCCGTGCCCATGCCCAGGCTTTGTTTCCATGGGCTCCTAGTAGACTTGGCATCTGCACAGCCCTGGGTTTGGTGGGTTTGGGGTGGGAGCTGGGCAGCCCTTTTGAAAGGGAGGATCAGGCCAGCAGCCCTGTGGGGGAACCAGGAGCATCCCAATGAGGTTTAAATAACAAGACTGGGCGGGAGGGAGGGCTGCTATGTCCGTGACCTTCCTCTGGAATCTCCGAGTGGGAGAATGGAACGTCTCCAGGAACTGGGGAGCCTTCAGGCTCAGCTGGAGTCCACAGGAAAGAGAAGCCTCGTTCCAGCCCCGGCCAGACTCCCTGAATCCTTTCCTTTCAGGGAAATGGACTCTGAAAGGAGGGGAATAGAACAGATTTACTTGCTGTCCTCCCAGTGCTTTTTATAGCGTTCCTGTGCCCAGCAGGACCTGAGCCCTGGGGGCTGAAATAGAGCCGACAGCTAGGACTAAGGATGGCCACCACGCCCTGCTCGAGGGCCAGGGCCACCCTGTTGCCCCAGCTGGGCAGATGGCGCAGGAGCCCTTCTACATCCTCGGCGATCGACTGCCAGCACTGACTCAGGGGCTCCCCCAGCCTCTGCACTTCCTCCCCAGCCGACACAGACATATCAGCAAGACTTGGGAGATTTAATTCTCTCTTCATCCCCTGACGCAGGCAGGTTTCCCTGGGGGAAGGTTATCTCACAGATGGGCACTCCCCATAGTCTTTCAATAATTAAATGCCTTTGGCTCTTTGTCCAGGTTATTCTTTGTACTTTGTTCCATTTCCCACCCACAGATGCCTTTGGGGAGCAAGAGCTTTTCATTTAACAAGTCCAACCAAGTTGTAGCCCTGGGGAGTAGTACCCTTGAGCGAGTCACGGCTTCTCTCTGAGCCACAGGAGGGAGGGATGTTCAGCTCTGCGTTCTTGATGGCCCCATGGTGGGGCATCGGTCAGGCATGGATCCCCCCCTTCCCATCTGCAGGCTCAGGTCACCCCCAGCCCGAGGCAGGAAGATGGGGAGCAGCCTCTGGCGGTCCCTGCAATGAGCTGGGCTGCCTCTCCTTCTGGACACTGGACGTCTGCCTCATTCCCCACTTTCAGGAGGTGACGTACCAAGGAGAGCACAGGCCCGGCCCCACCCCTCCCCAGCTGTGCGACTAGCACTGAGCACCCTAACCGCCCCCCCCCCCCCCTTCCTTATATGACTAAGCCCTAAATCTTGGTACTTTCTTGCCTTTCAAGTGAACTTGAGCAATGTCTGGATGCAGGTGGAATCCTTAGAGAATTCCTGACCTTGGATGCCTGTTTTGATGCCATGAATGTCTCTGATGCTTATCTCCGTGGAAGAAAATGTTATGTCTGTGAAGGGGGTGGGGGAGCCAGGTAGTAACATTAACTCTCACACCCCTTGGTGGAGAGGCAGTGTGCCTGCCAGCCTTGTCCTATTTGATG